CCCCCCCCGCGTGCGTGCTCAAACCCGCGAAAGACCTCGATTCCAAGTGAACCTAAACTACATTGAAACCCTCCCTCTTCCTCCTCAATGCACGCGCGCGGGGTCTCTCATCTAAATGCTCACAGTGCTTTCTTGCTCTCCCTCAGCTTGAACCCCGGGCGTGGTCCTGCCTTCTTCCTTCCAAGTCTTGGTCCTCAAGCTCAACGCGTGCAACCCGCGATCGAACTCGCCCTGCAACAACGCATTCACCGCGCGGTGACGCTTGATCTGCGTCATCCCCGAAAACTTGTCCGAGACGACGTGCACGTAGAAGTGCGTCTCGCCATTGCCGCCGCCCTGCGCAGCCATGGCGGCGTGGTGGGCGTGCTTGCTCGAATCGTTGCGGATGTTGACCTCAACTTGCGGACCGAATTCGGCTTCGAGTTTGGAGCGCATCGACGACTCCATGCTGGTGGGTTTTGTGGAAGTGGCGTATCCGCGCGTCTGGCCTGACATGATGGCGGAAGAAGCTGGTGCGGATGCTGATGCGGTGGAAGCGGTGGTCGAAGAGGCGACGGTGGGTCGAACAATGACGGGAACGCGAGCGCGGGTATTGGACGGCAAGATGTGAGCGACGAGCGTGTATCGACCGGTCTTCTTGATGCGGCCGAGCTTGTCGACCGAGTCGGTTTCGTTCTGCGATTCAGCGACCAGCACAAAATCGCAAGCGGTGTTGATCTGCGCTAGCGTCAGCCTGTTGAGCTGTACCGGCTTTCCTTCTTCGCTGTAGTCGGTCTCGAGGTCGAATGCGCCTTGCTGCCTCAAAAAGTCGACAACGTCGCTGGTCGAGATGCTTCCCTGGATACCAAGTGCAGGCTTGGGCAGGTCCGTCTCGCCGCTCACTGACGCCGACGGTCTGAACTTGGTGGTTGTCTGTCGGGCGAAGACGACGGGAGGAGCGACTTCGAGCTTCCTTCGCAGGCTCAGCAACTGGAGAGGACCGAGCTCCTTGGACAGAGCGTCTCTGGCTTGTTGGACTTCTAGTGCTGCCTGTGCAGATTCGAGTTGTGATTCGACCAAGGATACGTTGGCCTTTTCGTTGGAGAGTTGGAAGGGGGTGGGGAGAGGTTGGTAGACGGCTTTGTGCTTGGGTAGCAGCTCGTTGCGCATGCGCCCTGGCTGGACGAGCACGAGGCTGCCGGCGCTACCGAGACCGGGGACTTCTGTCTTGAGCTGAACACGTACGAGCCTCCTTTGCGAGAGTATGCGTGCCTGTCGATGCAGAAAATGCATGGCAATGAGAAGGCGTCAGAGGATGGTCGCAGAACAGCTCGAATGGTTGGCGAAAGTGAGACTTACTGTGTATGCAAAGTTGGAGACGGCTGTCGCTCTCATCTCGTTTGTATAGAGTGAGGTGACTCTCCTGCACCGGGTGGGGCAAGGATACGGAATGAAATAGGTTGACGAGGTTGAGGTTGATGGTGCTGGTGGTACAGGAGGCGGAAGCGCATCGTGAGAGCCAAAAAGCCAAAAATGCGACACTTTCTTCGATCCATTTTTATCGCTCCCGCCTTGCAAGCAAGATCCGCCCGAGAAGCATCTGAAATTCGAACATCCTTGTTAGACCTAAGTTCTACGTCCCTTTCCCACAAAATTTCCAGGCTGACTAACGTGTTCGGTCTGTCCGCGACCGTTCAGTTCCGATTTGCAGCAGGAAGCGGCGGAACGATAGGAACCTCTTCCGGAAAATATTCGACAGGCAGCAGAGCGCAATATGCGGATCGGTATTCAAAAACAAAATCCGTCGGTGACATATTTCTTCTGAAAAACGAGTGTCGATCTCCACCTCGGCACGCAAAGTCACTCTGATTGAGACTTTGTCGCTCCTTACACCGTCCTTATCGTCTCTCACCAACAACCACTCGAGTGTCACAACAATCACACTGCACCTGCTGCCTTTCAGCATCCCTTCAGCGTTACAAATCGTGCCCATTACGCCGTCGCTGTCGCCTCGTCAAGTTGGACGCACGGACGCTCGACGCTCAGATATTGACGTGGCGAACCCAACCAAAAGCAGCCGCCCTTTGTCTCTCCGCAGCCGCCGCAATGGCCCCAAGAATGCCGAGATCCGCGCTTTCTAGTGTCGCTAGAGCACGTCCACGCTCCTTGCTCCCAACACGAGCGCTCGCAGCGACAGCATCAGCCGCTCGTGCTCAATCCAGCTGGGCATCAGCCATAGACCAGGCAAAGAGCCTCGTACAGGACCAACTCGCTCAGTTTCCCGCAGGTTCCTCTTCGTCCTCCTCTGCTTCATCTTCAGGCTCATCCTCCTCATCCTCTGCGGCTGCATTCTTCGGTGCGTCAGTTAGCAGCTCTTCCTCGTCAGCATCGACCACACCATCCACACCCATCATCCAGGACCCGCTCTCGCTCGTCTCGTCCGAACTTTCGTCCTTGCGCTCCAACGTCTCCTCGCTCCTCGGCTCGGGTCACCCAAGCTTGGACACGATAGCAAAGTACTACTTTCAGGCGGAGGGAAAGCATGTTCGACCGCTCATCGTCCTGCTCATGAGCAAAGCCGTCAACGGTCTCTCGCCTCTCTACCCTGAACTGCTCTCGCAGGCGCAGAACTCAGCGCAGCGCAGCGATACGGGCAAGTCGATCGAGCGTGACATGGGCATCAACGAGCCGCTCTCACCGGGAAGCGTCCTCAACGACTTCAATCCGCACATGGAGAGCATCGAGGGATCGCTTCCTCCATCATCAGCGCAGGATGGAAGCGCAGCAGCAGCGCTCGCTTCCACCACCGGCGCCATTCTGCCCACGCAGCGCAGGCTCGCCGAGATCACCGAGATGATCCACGTCGCATCGCTGCTTCACGACGACGTCATCGATGCATCGCCTCTTCGACGCGGTGCGCCTTCAGCTCCTTCAGCCTTCGGAAACAAGCTCAGCATCTTGGGAGGCGATTTCTTGCTCGGCCGTGCTTCCGTCGCACTGGCTCGTCTTCGTGACGCCGAGGTGGTCGAGTTGCTCGCCACCGTCATTGCCAACCTGGTCGAGGGCGAGGTGATGCAGCTCAAGTCGCAGGCTGCTTCTGCCGCCGAGTCTAGCGAAAGTACTGGAACACCGACGCACGCCAACATTTGGGAATCCGAAGGCCTCGTAGCGCACACCATGGGTCTCTCCGACGTTGAAGCCAAGAAGGCAGTCGATCACGCAGTCTCGACCTACAATCAACCCACACCAGCCCACTTTTCGCTCTACCTCCAAAAGACTTACCTCAAGACCGCTGCTCTCATCGCCAAATCCACACGTGCCTCTGTCATCCTCGCCGGCTGCGGAGCCGACGCCATCTCCAAAGCCAACCTTCCCCCCTCCGTCGCAGAACACATGCGCACCATCAGAGACGCAGCCTACGGCTACGGTAGAAACCTCGGCATCGCCTTCCAACTCGTCGACGATCTGCTCGATTTCCAATCCACCTCGGCCGCTTTTGGAAAACCGTCCGGTGGAGCTGATCTCAGGTTGGGATTGGCTACCGCTCCTGTGCTGTATGCTTGGCAGGAGCTACCAGGGGAAGGGATCCACGAGCTGGTGGCGAGAAGGTTCGAGGGTGAGGGAGATGTGGAGAAGATGTTGAGGTTGGTAGATAGAAGTCAGGGTTTACAGAGGACGGCGGAATTGGCGAAGGAGCACGCGAGGAGGGCGAGATCGCATCTGGATGTGCTGCCTGATTCCGAGGCCAAGCAGGCGCTGATCGGGTTGAACGAGCAGGTGATCAAGCGCGTAAAGTAGAGCGTAGATGCACCTTTCACCGCTGGGATCCTTATCTATCTTGTACAAGTACAGCGAGAGTAACAGTTGCTACCGTTTCATAGACATCCTCATCGTAATCTAAACCCGCATCTCTACACTGTGTCGCTTTACGAGGCTTTCAATGTTGACTGAGGTCAAAACACAATTCAGCTCGCTTCCATTTGCCCGTCTGCTTTCCCTCCGGATCCTTGATCTCCCTCTGAAAGTTTTCCATCAACGTCTCCCATCGATCGACGTCTGGGTTGCCGCCGTCGCTCGCCGCTTTCTTTTCGAACGAAAAGTCATCCTCGACGTCCATGATCATGACGAGCCGATCGGCAAAGTGGAAGATGCGCATGTTGAGCACGCCAGAGCCCGGGTAGCGGATCGAGTCGACGATGGCTGGCGGAACGTTGCCGGGTGCGTGGTGGTCGATGTACTGCTTGATGAGGTTTGCGTCGGGGGCGATGTCGAGCAGCAACACCTCTTGACGCACCATGGTCGGAATATTATGCGCGGTAGTGGCCTCGCAGACAGAAGCCGGACTGGCTGACGTTCGTCGAAATCGAGGGTGCCTGTCGAGGAGGTCGATGAGACTCGAGACGAGGTTGTGGTTGCGTGGAGGTTTTGGAAGCACCACATCGGTTGGATTTCGAGTGCGGATCCCCCACGTCGATCCGCCGAGAAAGATTATCAGGTTCAAAATGTTAGACCTGCGTCTTGGATCAGGGTGCTCCTCGCGCAAACCGTCAAGAACGCGCGTTCAACGCATGGTCCCGCCGTGTTGAAGAGATGCCGCGCTGCAGGGAGCATGCGGCGAGAACGCATGCCAGCGATGGATATCTCGGCACCCACCTTGTGATCTCGCCAGGACGCAGAGCCGAGGCGGACAGCGGTCCACCTTGCTGCTGTGATGTGACACGACGATGCCGTACCGCCTCTTGCAAGCCTCGCCGCTTTTTTCTTCTCCGAGGAGTGGCTTTCCATGCCTGATCGCGCGGTATACGTACCATCCAAGTAGTGTTCACACGGCTCAGCATCGCCAACCGAGACTGGACTTCAGTGGTCGTCCGGAGAAGTTCGACATCGTGCCGTCTCTTATATCAGACTTGCTTGCCATACTGTACTACTGAACGGACGGAAGATGATGAGGCGGAAGAACCTTCGGGCCTATATCCCCACGATACCCCGCACTTTCTGCGCTAACCGGGATCGTTCTGTGACTGTACCAAAAGCGGACGACGGTCTTGTCGCGTCGTCGAAGGGCGTCGGACAATGGCTGGGAACGAGGATACTGGGCCCGAGGCAAGCCGACGCGAGGAGGTCGAGCGAGAGGAAGCTTGCAGGTAACCTCCGCTTAAGGAGCCCGCGAGGCGTAGATGTAGAGAAGCGGTGTGCTGCATGATCAAAATGCATTTTAGGTTGCGCCGAAGCAGGATGCTTAGCCGAAGCAAAGCTGAAGAGCAGGGCGAGCAGCGAGACGTGGCTTCTGGTCGCTGAGTACTTTTCCAAGGGTCCTCCGTCTCGATCTGAGTTTCAAAATCCATTCGCCAGTGGTCCATGCCAAAAAAAACCCCACTCGTATGGAGGGGATGCTGATGCTTGGTCGAAGATCGTCGAGGACGTCTAGGTTGATCGTATACGTTTCTATGGGAGCTGCTTTGCTGCATTGGTGCCTAGTGGGTCGCATGGTGTCGGGTTCCGACGGTGTGGTGTGTGGTGTCAGGAGATCAGCGGCCGTTGGTGGTGTATCTGCAGCCAAATTTACGGTCGCAGGACACGCTAAAACTGAAATTCGACCCACCATCCTCGGCTAAGGTCGAAGCGATTCCTCTTCTCCCCAGCCTCTCCAGGATGTGTGTCACACGCCCGGCTCAGGCACTTCCTTGCTTGTAAGCCTAAATTGTCACAGAATTCTCCACCGAAGCCGGCGTCAAAGGAAGCCAAGCCGCCTTGAGCACTTTGGTGCTGATGCACGGATGGCACGGCGAAAGGCCCTCTTTCAACGGTACCGTTGATCACTTTGGCCTTCTTCCGATTCGCATCTTCATTGTGATCACCGTCTACACCTCATCACCCTCACCCTAACTTCGCCGCCACCTCCAACCACGATTGCATACTTCTTCTTCCTCCTCTAGCATCGACTTCTCGCAGCGCACTGCCCTTGATTCTGCAGTTGCCCGTACATCAACTTTCATTCGTCGACGCGCCATCGTGAACGACGCCAGCTGCGTTTTGCCAGCTCCATCGCCCGACTCGAAGCTCGCGGACTTTGACCGCCTCTGCAAATTTGCTCTTTCTGCCCTTCGTGGATGCTACAGTTGTAGGAAACGATCGGGGACGGCGAGCTGCATAGCTGCGCAGCCCACCGTTTGCGGTAGGAGCGCGCGCTCTCTTCAGCAGCAGCAGCAGCAGCTTAGTCAAGCGCCACTTGCCTTGAAGCCCCGCGTCGAACATGTCTTCTATCAGCTCTGCTCCAGGTGACGGCCAAGAAGACCAAGGCAGTCGCAACCCTTCGCTGTCGGCTAGCTCGCAGGCGTCGTCGTCGGATCTTCGTAGGACGTCCCGCCTCTCCAGCACAGCCGGCATCTTTGATCTTGATGACGATGGCAGCATCGATGGAGCTTCGACTAGCAGCAGCGGCGGCCGCAGAGCCAGCAACGCGCGCGTCTCGTCGCTTGGCGGCGGATCACATCGAGGATCGGTCGCAGATCGCGGCAGCCGCAACCTGTTCGATGTGCAGGAGGAAGACACCAACACGGCCTCGGCGCCGTCGCCGGGTCCTCCGTCCACTTCCAGCTCTGCAAGCAAAGCAGCTACGCGCAGCCAGCTCAGCGCGGATACGTTCGGTAAGTAGGGATATGGTGACTCCTGTGATGATGGACAGCGAGACGGAGGAAGGTAGCTTCGAAGCAACCGTGACCTGCACACTCGGCACTGCCGGTAACTCTGTTCTCGAGCCGTCGGAACGCATCGTTGCATTCCTAATGCTGTTGTCGCCGTTTACTGACCAAGTTTGATTCCTCTCTTCTTTGAACCGTTTCCCCGTTCTCTGATCTCAACACAATACCGCTTTCACCGATTTGTCGTCATTGCTGCTTCCGCCGCTCACATGCTTTTTCGATCCGATCCTATCTCTGTTTCGGCACTTCTTTCTCATCACGGTCCGTACGCCGACGAACTCGACGCCTCTCCCACTTCGGCATATCCGACACACGCTCGCCAACTCGACGCCCGCATTCTCGCCCATGATTCGATGACTATCTCGCGTTTGCTTCCCGCTCATGCTTTTGCTCTTGCTCCTGCTTTTGCTACTCCGTCGTTTGCGTTTGCGTTCGCGCTCGCCTTTCGATTTCGGTCGCACCACCAAAACATCGTCTCTACCGCTGTTTACCTTGCTGACGACGGTCGATGCGTGGCTCACGTCGTTGCATGGTTGTTTGGGCGTCTGTTTCGTGGACCCTGGAAACATTTGCGATTTGGTGCGACGTTTC